CGACTTATACCATGCAGTGCCAGATGAACTGTTGAGAGTTATTTTTGACATACTCTCCCTAGGTCCAGTTGAGATTGCAACTAGGAGGGCATCCAAGTTGAAGCAGTGGGTCAGCATAGCAAAGAACTTCGAAATGGAGGAAGCGAAACTGAAAAAGGGCATGGAACCCGGTGTAGAAGCCATCCTGCGGCCTAAGCGTATCCTTTTATGGAAAGCTATTGCTGAACAGATGGAATGGCCTGACCACCAGCTCTTTACCGAAATAGTAGAGGGTTTCAAAATTGTAGGACTGCAGGAACCATCTGGTGCCTTCGGCTTGGAACCACGCCCTCCTTCATTTTCACCTGCGTCCCTGGATGATGCTGTGAAGTTTTTGAGGCCTGCAATTCTTGGAAAAGTGAAATCAACTGCTGTGGATGAGGACGCGCAAAAACTTTGGGAAATCACTTGTGAGGAATCCTCCAACTTGCATTGGATGAGAGGGCCTTTGTCAGAAGAAGCTGTGTTCCGTGAACTGGGCCCGCATTGGCTCCCTGTCCGAAGATTTGGGGTGTGGCAAAACTCTGGGGATAAAGTCAAGTTGAGATCCATAGACGACTACGCCGAAAATAAGGTGAATGGCGCGTTTGAGTATGCAGATAAACTTGATCTTAGGACCCTGGACCAGATCATATGGGTTGGTGCTGCAATTGCCAGAGCGTTGATGGACAAACGTGTTGTTTTCCACCCAAAGGATGGTACCATACTTGATGCGCCTGTGCATAGCTCATACCTTAGTGACTCACGAGGTCAGCCCTTGATTAGTGTGCTTGATCTGTCCAATGCCTATAAACAGTTTGCTCTGCACCCAGAATGTCGTAGGTATTCAGTCATTGCACTCAAGAGTCCGATTGATCAGTCGCTCCAATGTCTTGAGGGGCGAGTCCTGCCTTTTGGAGCCACGGCATCGGTGGTTCATTTCAATAGATGTTCGAGACTGTTACAACACATAGGATACCAACTGTATTTGCCTTGGAGTAGTTACTTCGATGATTTTCCAGTTGTTACACCTAGTGTGTTGGCTGGGTCGACCATGAGCACCATGACCGCCATGCTTGACCTTTTGGGTTTCGGGTATGCCGAGCACAAACTGCAGCCGTTTGCAACCAAAGCCAATGTCTTGGGTGTTACGGTTGACTTCGGACAAACAGATAACGACAAAGTCTTGATCGGCAACAAAGCTGGCAGGATAGATGAAGTGCGCTCGTCCATAGTCAAAGTGCTTGAAAGTGGTAACATCTCCTCACGAGATTGCAGTAGGCTTTTGGGACGGCTGCAGTACGTTGACTCTTTTTGTGATGGGCAGAGATGGCAGGTTGGCGATGACTGAAATCAGAAGCAACATAAGAAATGATTCTAAACTCATCCACTTGTCTCCTGAAGCAAAAGAATCCCTGCGCCTGATGTTGAACAGGCTTGACAATGGTAAGCCGAGAGAACTGCCTTGCTCTCATGAACAACGACCGGTATTGGTCTTCACTGACGGCGCGAGTGAAGGCGACCTGAACACCATAGGTGGATTGTTGTTCTCCGATGGGCATTTTAGATACTTCTCTTGTCATGTGCCGCCGAGCCTTGTGACTACATGGAAAGCAAGCTCCAAACATGTCATAGCGATGGTCGAACTGTATGCAGTAATAGTAGCCCGGTTCGTTTGGAGCCGTTTTCTCAGTGGACGTAAAGCCATAGCGTTTGTGGACAACGAATCGGCCAAAGAAGCTTTGGTGAAAGGGTCTTCCTTCAATGCACACTTCCGTGCGCTTCTCTTACAACTTGAGGTTTCTGAAAAGGACGTCCGGTCCTGGTTATGGATTTCAAGAGTTCCAAGCCACTCGAACCCGAGTGATGGACCCTCTAGGGGTGATAACTCGTTTGTGAAAGCCTTGGACGCTATCCGTGATGGATGCTCGTGCCCAATCCTTGGATGTGCCCTTGCAGACATGTGAGATTGAGAAAATGTGCAGCAGGTATGTTTCTTGGGGAGGGGACTGAACAGTAGGTGACAACTACCCAACCCCTCCCACAAATGTCGATGTGTGTTTAAGTGGGGAGTTGAAACATCGACTGTTTTTGGATGGGATACGTCTTCAAAGTTGGATGACGTTGGAACAATATGGATGTGAAATTTCATGTTGGAACTATGGTGCATTTGGCACCACAATGGACATGCGTGATGCATGAGTCGTTTTTGCACCCCACGTGAAAAAAGAAGGGCTTCTGTTTCGATTCCACATGTCAGTGATGTCTCATGTGATTTTCACACTTTGTTTTGTTTGTGTTGATGTTTTTGGGTTCGGAGTTTGGTCACGTTGCGCGAACGTATTTGCGATACGTACTGTTTATATGAATAACTATATTATATATATGCCCGTATACTTAGGTATCTTGGGATACCCTAATTTGTTATGGCCTGGTGTCAATGGGCCTTTTATGCTTGGGGATATGTTGTGTATCCACCTTTGGTTTGAGTTTGGCTCGCCCCAAAAGATTAATTGTGCGTAGCACCATTTCCTTTTGGGGCTAGAGTAGCGGAATTGTATGGAGCGCCAAACGAAAAAAAAAGAAAACCTGAAATGTAAATAACCAAACCTTGAACCAAAACATCAAACGGGATCTTGTTATGAAACATCAGTTGGATGAAACCTTGTCTTATCAACGGCACGTCAATTGGACAGTACACGTTCAGTGTGTCATTTCATCTCATGTTGCTATTTTGGATTCAAGGTGTGGAAGGGGAATACAAAGGGGTACATTCCCCACTATCTGAGAACTTTCACCCGCCCCCCCACACCATAAAGAATCCTTGGATTCTGGCATTTGGCCACCTTGAGCACTTGGCTCTCAGTGATCCCGAACCGTTTTCGTCCACCTGGGACTTTTGTCATTTGGACCTCCATTTCAATTAGTGTTTTTTCTCGCGACATGCAGTCCGATTTGACGATGCTCGCTGCAGGTATCAGCATCCTCCTCCAGTACCTCAACAACCCCATGGAGCAGTCAGATCGTAGCAACTGGACACTTCATGCTACGAGGTGTGAAAATATCGAAGAAACCCGCAAAGGATGTGGCATCATCCTTGAATGCTGTGGACAAACCCCATTCCTGAGCAGCATTTACAAACTTTGGCAGATCAGTAGCAATGCACTGTTTCTCTTTGAACAACAATGGTGGCCGGACCAGCCGAATGAAACCTCTCTCAATATTGCAACGCCAACTGTGGCGCTTAAGTTGTCCGCATTGTTGCGGCCGGGATGGCGTGAACAACACCATCTTCTTCGGCTCTCCATGGCTTCGCTGGTCACCCTGAGAGACTGGATGATGGAATCAACAAGTTCATCAGGACAATTTTACCATCATACAAGATGCACTCCTGGTCATGCAAACGGCGGTTGACCTCTTTGACCTCCATGATGCCATGCAGGTGCCTGACGCCCCTGTTGAACATACCGAAGACATGGCCCATGCGTCAACTGCGTCCGCCGGGAGTTGAAACATCGACTGTTTTTGGATGGGATACGTCTTCAAAGTTGGATGACGTTGGAACAATATGGATGTGAAATTTCATGTTGGAACTATGGTGCATTTGGCACCACAATGGACATGCGTGATGCATGAGTCGTTTTTGCACCCCACGTGAAAAAAAGAAGGGCTTCTGTTTCGATTCCACATGTCAGTGATGCCTCATGTGATTTTCACACTTTGTTTTGTTTGTGTTGATGTTTTTGGGTTCGGAGTTTGGTCACGTTGCGTGAACGTATTTGCGATACGTACTGTTTATATGAATAACTTATATTATATATATGCCCATATACTTAGGTATCTTGGGATACCCTAATTTGTTATGGCCTGGTGTCAATGGACCTTTTATGTTTGGGGATATGTTGTGTATCCACCTTTGGTTTGAGTTTGGCTCGCCCCAAAAGACGGCCTTTTAACGAGCTTGAACGCAGGCTAGTATGGGCCAGACTGCCACACGGTTCACTGTGAACCCAACTCATTGTTCCAAAGGGATTTTCAATAAGGGGTAGTGGGGATGACCTTAGTAACTACTTCTATCTCCTCCAGCATAATCAGCAGTGGTTGCCTCGTAACGCCGTACTGCTTTGATGGGGAAGGTTACGAAACCTACGGGGGAAAGAAGGGTGAGAGTTATATCTTGAGTTTCCGTGTTGTTGCGATGGGTGATTTGAATGCTGTTGACATAGCTCAGCAAGTCCATTTTGAGATTCTGCAGGATGGTTTGTGTATGCAGCCTGGAGAACGTATAGAGTTCAAACAGCCCCTACCGGCTTCACACACATTCTTGAAGGCATGTACATAGATGACCATATAGTCACTCAGATTTTCCCCTCAAGGAAGTACCGTAACAAGAATCAAAAGTTCAGGGATGAAGTGATCATGCAACAAAGCAGAGAGCAGTACTCAAACCATGGCATACCTACTTCGGCCCATAAAGCCTTTGATAAACAAGCAACTTTTGTTGCTTGGGGCACAGAGGTAGAAAGCCGTAGTGGGCGTGTAGGAGCTCGTCGATTCAAGCTGCAGCAACTAGCTTCACTGCTAGTTAGAGTGTGCAAGCTACCGGTGGTCACACGAAAATTGTTGCAGGGCATCACAGGGCTCCTAGTGCATCCCTTCATGCACAGGAGATCGATGATGTGCTTGTTGCAAGAGACCTTCATTTAGATAGAGCGTATCAAAGATGGTGATAGGAAAGCCCTGCCCACAAGTGTCAAAGAAGAGTTGTTGTCTTGTGCACTTCTCCTTCCCTTTGCCACACTAATGTGCGCTGGAATGTTTCTTGCAGAATCGGAGCCAGTGATGCGTCGACCACCCACGGAGGCAGAGCTGCCGCGATTGTGACACCACCAATAGCCCAAACTTTTTTTAGGTTTGCAGAACACAAAGGCGAACACGTCCGGCTAGATTGGGCTAAAGGCCAGGTGGAGCCGCCATGCAGCATGCGCCAGGCTCCTGAAGAATTGGAATCGCTCCTCTTGAGTTTGCCATGGAACCAAACCGAAACATGTCACTTCAGTCACAAACAACATATAAACATCCTAGAAACACGGATGATACAGAGAGAGCTCAGAGACGTTGTTGAAAAGACTGTGCAACCACTCAGGTGCGTTTTACTTTGCGACTCGAGAGCAGAGGCTGGAGCCTGGTCGAAAGGCCGTTCATCAGCTCGCAATCTGAACAGGTTGCTGAGACAGTCACTCGGTTGGACCCTTGCGGGGCGTAAGTCCCTCCATATAGTTTGGGTTAGGTCAGGTGCCAATCCAGCAGATCACCCCTCTAGATGTCGTAGGATTCCTGAACCACCTGAAGTACCTAGTCAAATAACCGTTGACGTGCTAGGTGATAATTTGGAAGAATATCGAACCAGGCGGTCCAACAGGGAGATCTGGAGGCATGTCGAGCGCCAAGACAGCGTCCGACCGGCCGTCAAACCTAATAGCCAGTCAGTGCTAGACCAGCAGCAATTTGGAGACCAAAGCAAGAAAGCTAGCCTGTCCTCTCATCCAGCCGCCAAGCACTGGAGCTTCAGGGAAATCTTTGCGGGGAATGCACACCTTACAAAAACTTTTCATCACAGAGGGATGTTTAAGGTGAAACCTCCAATTGAACTAATGAAAGCAGGAAAACCAGTAGCTTCACATGACATTCTGGATGATAAGGTATTTGACAGGCTTTGTCAAGAAGCATGTCAACCCAAGCAGCTATGGCATTTTGGTTTCCCTTGTGGTTCGTTTAGCATCATGCAGAATATGAATAAAGGCACACGCACCCATAAACAACCACTGGGTGACAACTCTCTCCAGCGTGAGCGTGATGGAAATGAGATACTTTGTCGGACCCTGCACCTTTGCGAACTCTTGCATGCACATGGTTCCTTCTTTACGCTTGAGAATCCTCTTTCCTCTTTTGCTTGGAAGACCCCGCGAATGCAGCAGGTTGCAGCTAAGTGTTCTTGTAGCAGCATAGATCTTGACCAATGTCGTTTTGGGCTCATGATACCTGATAGCGATGGAGATTTGGGGCTAGCTAAGAAACCAACAAGATTCCTGGTCCCAAACCTCAGCAGATTGGGTCTCAGGTGTCAAAAGGACCACACACATGTTGCAGTGCTTGGAGGAGTCAAGGTTAAAGGCAAGTGGCAGAGACGTTCACACCTAGCTGGAAGCTACCCACAAGCACTGTGCACGGCATATGCAAAAGCCTTCAAACTAGCATTCAAATAGCGGTTACATAAGAGAGCAGTTTTTTCAAGTGTTCGGACTCAGTTTTTTATTTTCTCCCTCCTGCATGGTTCTGCATGCCTGCCTTGTTGGTACAGCCGCGAACTGCAGGTGCTGAAAAGCTGCGCTGGGGAAAGTACAGCCCAGCCTACAGGAAACGGCTTCTGGAGGGATGTCAAGCTCTTCAGAGCTATCTCACCGAAGTTGACGTACCCTCAAGGTCAGTGATCCATCAAAAAGCCAGTGTGGTGGATGAGGTGTTGGAGCAGTTTATCAAACACTTGCATGACAAGCCATCGAAATCTGGACTACGAATAGCTAAGCACGCCGTGCTCAGTTTTCAGATCATGCGACCGCGCTTGCGTCGCAAGTTGCAAGCGTCGTGGGACGCTATCAAGTCATAGGAAGAGCAGCAGCCCTCCAGTTTTAGAGCACCTGTACCGATGACATTGCTCATGGCCATCACATGTCAAGCAGTTCTCAACTCTGAAAAGTCGGATAGCAGAAGTGAAGCGAGACGATGGCTGGCTCTGGCGGTTATGGTGCTCACTGGATTTTATGGACTGCTGAGACCTGGTGAGCTTCTGAACTTGAGGGCATCAGATGTGGTGCCTCCAAATTCAATGTCTTTAGGAAGTGCCTTCTCAGTTGTTAGGATTGCTCGACCTAAGAATGCTAGACAGATGGGGATCCAACAATACGTCGAGATTCGCCACCCTGATGCAGCAAACTGGTTAGCGTGGCTCAAAAGTGAACGTCAGCCAGAAGCAGCATTGTGGAACAGTACTCCTCATCGTTTTCGTAGCATGTTCAAATCAGTGTGCCGCAGTCTCAACATAGAATCACTACGACTGTCACCCGCTTCCCTGCGTGCGGGAGGAGCAACCTGGTTAGTTGACCAGGGGATCGAAGTCAGCAGAGTAAGATTTTTAGGACGTTGGGCTCACATGAGATCGTTAGAGCATTATTTGCAAATTGCCAGAGCCCAACAAATCACCCTCTCAATCGCGCCCACCATTGCCCTGCAGTTGAAGAAGTTCCTCATGCGATTTCATTTCTTGGTACACCTGCCTGCTTTTCTGGCTGATCAGGTGCCTGAAGAGAATCTCCTTAGGACCGAATTTTCTGCCATCCCAAGTCCAAGCCATGCCATCGCCGGAGCTAGGGCCTGGGGAAGACTGGCAGAAGCAGTTTCGCAAGGTGGTAGTCAGCGCGGAACCCTTGAAAGGTGCCCGGTATCCCGAAGTCAGTTGGGAGGACCTACGAAGGGCAGCCAAGTCCTACAAACAAGATCCCAGGTTCTGCCAATATGCGAAGAGGATGATGAGCGAGAAAGCCTTGGGAAGCCGTCCAGCCCAACCGCAGACAGCATCAAGGACTTGGCGAAAAATGGGAGCTGAGTGGCTAATGTGGGGCCTTGCCAAAGCAAAAGGCAAAGCTTTGCTGTTCATTTTTTTAGCACTTTTGGCATGCATGTTGATTTCGAGGCCACTCTTTTATGTGGTCATGGCCAAGAGTTTGACCATGGGCATCCGATTAGTGCTTCGCCGCAGTTTTGGACTTGTGATTATAGTAATTGACGCTATACTGGACGAAGTAGCAGCTAATTTGGAAGCCAGTCTGCTCACACAGCCCGTGCCTCAAGGAGCACCACCTCAACATCCCATGCATGCTTTTGAGATTCATCAATGTTCTTCGTGCCATTTTGGCTAGCGGCCCAACACCTCACAACCAAATTGGTTGACATCTGCCAGGTGCTGTGTTCAATTTTTGTCCCACCCACCCATCCCAGAGCCAATGCCACATACTCTGATTGTTGGCACCACAGCCATCATCTCGATTTGTTTGCACTTCATGCGTGACTCACTGGCCAACATTGACACGACCGATGATTTTCGCACTGGAGCAGTTTTGATGATTGAAGATGTGTGCATGTGTTTCCACGCCATCCTGGCGAAAACTAGCAGAACTCTCCACCTGCAGTCCACCCACTTCATATGGCAATCCTTTTGTCAGGCGCTTGCCCTCCTTGAGCTTGAGCTTTTCCCAGGCGTTGAGCCCTTGATTCCGGCCAACATTGAGATGCCAACGGTGCCTTTGAAGTTAACAGTCCTTGTCGATCCTGATTGGACGAGACATCATGTACTTCTGTCGCCGGCTCATTATGCCTTGTTTCGATTTCGCGCCTGGGTTTCTGCTTTCTATGACATCTCCGTACACGGGGAAGTCATTGAGGCTGTGGATGACTGCATGTTACTTCTGGAAGCCATAGCAGATATTTGTCAAGTCCGTGTGGAACATCCACCCCTCCTTTGCCATACTGGTGTTGTACGTGATCCTGTAGTACCTTGTACATAGCTGAATTGTTCCTGTCTTCAAGTTTTGCTGTACAGGGGTCAATTGGATCCATCTGTTTTCACGTCATTTGATGTGCAACCAGCACTTAGCATTCAGAGTTGCACAGCTCATCGTGGCGAGGAGAAGACCACGTACCAGTTGCCCCATTTGACAAAAAGGCGCTGCAGCCCTTGGCCAGTGCGTTTCGTGTTTATCATCTTTAATGCAACTCCCCTTCGTCAAACACGACAAGTGCGCTAACATTAAATGCGGCGGCGACGCGTTTTTCTAGGTAGAACTTAAATTGAAATGGCTTTGCATGAGAGGGTTCCCATTGCAGCCCCATCCGAGGAGGCCACACCCAAACACGTCTCTTTATGGAGAAGTTGTGGATGTTGAGAGCGAGCAGCCAAAGACTCCAGTGCAGGAGGAGAGAGGGTCTTTTTTCGAGCCAAGATCTGCTGCATCTTCTGCGGCAGCAGCTGCGCCGGCACCTATGTCAATTTTTGATGATGATGTGAATGAGGCATAATGAGGCCCCAACAACACCAAGAGGGTCACCTACAACCAGAGCTTTTGTCGCTGAACCAGAAGGCCATGATAGCAAATGTGCTAGAACAGCAAGTTCAAAGAAACAGCGCATCGAGCGTGTGGCGGAACAATATGAAGCTGCAGTCAGAATGGTGAAAGTTTCAGCGCAGGAGGAGTTCCACACTATGGATGATTACAACACGCATTTGCAGTTGGATGATCAAGATGAAGTTGACATTTGGGCTGGAGAAGAAAACGTTTCTACCAGCCACATGCCTGCCAAACTTTGGCCCAACCACGATGTCAGCCAGCAGCCTCCTGAACCAGATCCAGAGGTTGACCAATTGGCTGATGATGTTGAAATGAAAAGACCCCTGGAAATGGGAGTGCCGGTCCGAGCATGTGACTATGGCAAAAAGGTCACGGAGAAGCTCACAACAAAATGCGTGTATGACTGGCGTTTGCGTGACAATGTTGAATCAGATGGCAGTGTGACAAAATGTTGGTTTGGACGTTCCAGACTTGTGGCTCGGGAGTACGCTTTTCTTCAGAAGCGTGCAGACACTTACTCCCCGGCCAGTAGCACCCACATTCTCAACTTGTTACCGTTGATATTGGAAGCCATGACCCAGAGAGCAAAGCAGAGACAAGATCTACTACTTTGGGGTGCATGGATGTCAAAGATGCGTTTTTGATGGTGCGACAGCCTCATCCTGTCAAGATCAACGTCAGGGGTGAGGACTACATTGTGGAGAAGAATCTCCCAGGCCAAAGACTGGGAGCACGTTTGTGGTATCAACATTTGCGCAAATTCATGGAGGACCATTGGCAATTGTTCTTTCAGTGCTGAACATGTCTTGCCAAGTGCACGGGTGGTGTTTTCCTCATTCATGTGGATGACTTGATGTTTGTTGGTGGCCCAAAGTTTTGGAAAGAAAGTGTGCTTGGAAAGTTCAAAGAGCACTTCACCATTTCCCATGATGAGTTGGAAGGCATTGGAAGTTCAGTGGGTTTTCTGAAAAGGAAGATCGTCAAGATCGACAGAGGCTTAGGGTTGGTGTCAGGTGGCAACGCACAGAAAGCAGTGTTAGAAGAAACTCGCAGCCATACCCTGGAGATGGTTCAAATATTTATTTTGTCATTTTTTTGTCGTTTCTTTTGTCATTTTTTTTGTCATTTCAGTTTCGTCTGTCATTCTTTTTGTCATTTTTTTGTCGTTTTTTTTGTCATTTCAGTTTCGTCTGTCATTTTTTTTGTCATTTTTTGGTCGTTTTTTTTGTCATTTCAGTTTTGTCTGTCATTTTTCGAAGAATTTTTCGATCTTTTTCACTATTTTTGAGAAACTTGCACCAAAACGACAAAAAAATGACAAATTTTCCACACAATGACAAAAAAATGGCAAAAACACGACAAAAAACAATGCACTTTTGCAGGTGGCAAAAATTGCATTTTTCTCGAAGCATTGTCATTTTTTTGTCATTTTTCTGTCATTTTTCGAAGAATTTTTCGAAATTTTTCACTTTTTTCAGAAAATTGCACCAAAATGACAGAGAAATGAAAAAAAATGACAATGCTTCGAAAAAAATAAAATTTTTGCCACCTGCAAAAGTGCAATTTTTTTTGTCGTTTTTTGTCATTTTTTTGTCATTTTGTGGAAAATTTGTCATGTTTTTGTCGTTTTGGTGCAAGTTTCTCAAAAATAGTGAAAAAGATCGAAAAATTCTTCGAAAAATGACAGAAAAATGACAAAAAAAGGACAAAAAATTGCACTTTTGCAGGTGGCAAAAATAGCATTTTTCTCGAAGCATTGTCATTTTTTTGTCATTTTTCTGTCATTTTTCTGTCATTTTGGTGCAATATTCTTAAAAATAGTGAAAAATATCAAAAAATTCTTCGAAAAATGACAGAAAAATGACAAAAAAATGACAATGCTTCGAGAAAAATGCAATTTTTGCCACCTGCAAAAGCGCATTTTTTTTGTCGTTTTTTTTTGTCATTTTATTGTCATTGTGTGGAAAATTTGTCATTTTTTTGTCGTTTTGGTGCAAGTTTCTCAAAAATAGTGAAAAAGATCGAAAAATTCTTCGAAAAATGACAGAAAAATGACAGAAAAATGACAGACAAAACTGAAATGACAAAAAAAACGACAAAAAAATGACAAAAAGAATGACAGACGAAACTGAAATGACAAAAAAAACAACAAAAAAATGACAAACAAAATGACAGACAAAACTGAAATGACAAAAAAAACGACAAAAACATGACCAAAAAAATGACAGACAAAACTGAAATGACAAAATAAACGACAAAAAAATGACAAAAAAAATGACAGACAAAACTGAAATGACAATAAAATGACAAAAAAAACGACAAAAAATGACAAAATAAATATTTTGATTTTTCAACCTTTGCCTGCCTAAGTTTCTTCTAAAAGCAGTGAAAACCTATGAGGAACATTTTGGAAAGTTGCGCAATCAAACAATTCCATGCGGTGCTTCAGTGTTGGTTGAAGACCTGACCCAGCCACTCTCAGCCCGTGATGCTTTCGCTTTCAGATCAATCATTGGGATCTGTCTCTACGTCACCAGAGACAGGCCAGACATCTTGTACGCAGCGAAGGAGCTCAGCAGTTTCATGTCAAAACCCACACATGGATCACTACAACGATTGAAGAAGTTGATTGGGTACTTGCGTGCCACTCCAACATACTGCTTGGTTTTGGAGACGCCCATGCCAGGTCAGGGAAAGTGGAAGAGTTCAGAACTGACTTGGGTGCTGGAGAGCTTCACAGATGCTGATTGGTCTTCAAATCAATGCCACCGCAGGTCGACAAGCTGCGGTATTCACCTCCTATGTGGAAGCTTCATTTTTGGAAGCAGCAGAACACAGCGGGTAGTCAGCCTTTCCAGCTGTGAATCAGAACTTCATGCGATGATTTCCACAGAAGCATTGCATCGAATTCCTGACAGGTGCCAAGGTAGAGCACTAATTATATACTGACTCTTCTGCAGCGCGCCAACTTGCGCTTCGTCAAGGAGTTGGGAAAGCCAAGCATGTGGCAGGAAAACTATTGTGGATTCAAGACCTTGTTCAAAGCGGCCAATCAATGTTGGTACAAATCCCTACAGTTTGGAATGTTTCAGACATAGGCACAAAACCTTTGTCAACAAAACGCATCAAGGTCTTGGTGCATGAACTTGGTATGTGTGAAAATGAAGGTGCCTACGCGGTGGGACAAGCAGAAACAGAAGAGCAAGCAGCACGACATGGAGGTTCAAAAGGCTTCACTTTGCTGGCGAAGAATGTGTTAAGGGTTCTTATGATGTTGGGCCCTGGGCCAACTGGTGTGTTTGTGAAACATATTTACCCTGTTTGTATTCCAGCTCCAATAGCGTATATTCAGTTGTCAGAAACATATCAACTTGATGTGCAACATGCACATTTGAATCATTGTTATGTTGAGGCGCTTTTGACTCAAGGAAAAGTTTCATGGTAGCGGAGCTGTGATCCATACCTGCGGGTTGGTGAGCTCCGAGAGGTGCGGTTGGAACAGGACCCAATTCCAACCCATCTCATCTGGGACAGGACCCAAATCCCAAAGGGTTGCGCTGCCATAGGCATTTGCGGTGTTCTGGATTTACTGGTAACTGGCTGGAAGGTTTGCACAGGCCTTGTGAGGCGTGAACCGACGATTTGCATTTGGGTGCAGTTTACAACAGGCTGGACTGAGTGGAACAATTCACAGTTAATTCTGTTTGAGATTGCCACGTGTTTGCAGTTTCGATTGGACTGACTGGTTTTGCAATACAGCTGGTTTCAGGGTTCAGTTTGCGTGGTTTTTCAGATTGGTTTTCAAGCTGGAAACTATGGCGCAGCTATCAGAAGAAGCACAACTCATGCTTCAAAGTGTAACACAGGCTGCAAAGGCAGCCGCAGATGCAGCACAGGCTTTGCGTGAGTCAAACATACAGCAGTTGGCTAAGAGCACAGGTTTTGCTGAAGCCAATAAGACGGTTCAGTGCCCAAAGGAGTTTGGAAGCTCAGTTTCAGCAGAGGATCAGAATGGATGGAGTGACTTTGCGTTTGCATTCAAGCAATGGCTGTGTTTCGCTGACAATACCTTGACAGCTGACTTGGACTTTGTGGAGGACCATAGCGATGTTGCCGTAACATACAAGGATACAGCTGAAGGTAAAGCCAGTGAACAAAGGTCAAAGAAGTTGTACGCCATCCTTTCAGGAATCCTTCGAAACAGGCCCCTTCGACTTCTGGCAGACAACAATGGGTTAGAGGTTTGGCGCCAGCTGCACCCATTATACACCCCAAAGACAAAGGTGAGGAGTATGGCCATTTTGGGAACGATAATGAGCTTTCCTGCCTTCTCAAAAGAGAGAACTCTGCTGGAGCAAATCCAGGTGCTAGAGCGTTTGGGTGATGAGTATCAGAAGACGACTGGTGCAAACATCTCAGAGGACATCCTTCAGACAATACTTGTGCGGTCCCTTCCAAAAGCCGTACAGCAGCATATACAACTTGGTATGACAAACACGACATCATACCAAGAAGTTCGAGAGCGTGTGGTGGCCTATGAAAAGGTTTCAAGTACATGGTCAAAGGATCGGATTCTCATGGAATGTGGAGCTGGTTCATTAGGAGCCGTGGCTTCATATGCTGCAGGGAGTGACACCGGTCCGAGCCCCATGGAGGTCAACTTGCTGCAGAAAGGCAAGGGCAAGAAGGGCAAAAATGCAGGTAAGGGCAAAGGTCAGGATTCTGGAAAGGGCAAAAGCTCTTATGGCAAAGGTAAAGGCAAAGGTCAGGATTCTGGAAAGGGCAAAAGCCCTAACAAAGGTGGTGGCAAATCTCAGTCGAAGAGCAATGCAGCTGGACAGACAAAGCAGAAGTTGGATGCAAACATCTGTGCGTACTGTGGCAAGCATGGTCATTGGCAAAGGGATTGTTACAAAAAGAAGGCCGATCAACAGGCCCAACAAGGTCAAG